TCTTGAAAGTAGTCCAATTTGGCTTGTATTTGACGAATTTTTCACGATGTCGACAATTGCAGTCACTGAAGATTATGAATTGCATTTGAATTCCTGGTGTTGTGAGTTCGCGCGCCTATTTTTATTCCCTGTGAGTGGAGAACGTTTTTACTGAAAATTTTAGAATGATATTTTCCAAATAAAGCATCTCTCTCTGTCAAGGCCGCCAACAATGCCTCGTGATTGTTGCACGTTCTCAAAAAGTGTGTTTATGGCTTTTGACAAAGATTTTTTGGCAACGTTTGCGGCACCTTCGTCCGACCCTAGCGGGAATATGGCATACCGACGTGGCAGCCATGGCTCGCAAAAGACATAACGTGTCTCGGAATAGTGCACCGTCGTGCGACATACCTAGCAAAAGGTCTAAAAAACGGCTCTTGCATAGAAAGATTAGAATGCCTTAATTTATCCCCTCTGTATTACAGGCTGCAAAGGAGGGATTTCATCTTAGTTTACAAGATAATAAACGGTCTTGAGAAAGGATTGCGCTTTGGGGACATGTTTCAGTGGCACCTCTCGCCTCATCTTCGTGGACACGCAATAATACTGTGCACGAAAATGTCTAAGCTTCATCTCCACTCTGATTTCTCCACGCAACGAGTCATAAAACAGTGGAATAACCTGATGCAATCAGCCGTGGAGCTGAAGTCTCTACAACTCTTCAAAGAACGCTGTTTCTCCTGTGGTTCCTCGACAGTATGAATTCGGACTAATACTGTACGAACTCCAGACAGTTTTACTGAAAACAATGCTACTCATAGTTTGTGAATACCATTTTAAAGGTGATATTATTTAAGCGTGCGTGTACAAATGTGTATGGCACACCGGCATGTAATCAGTGGGGTTTTCAAAGGCATTGCCTACTATTCTCACCAAATAAGCGGAAAAAAGGGTAAATGCTAAAAAATTGTCAGTCACGAGCGTCACGATCAAAGCCAATACTGTCCTGTAGTGTCGCGTACTTATGCGCTACTTACAGTCTCATAACGAGCTTAAAAACCATATTTTACGAAAAAGCGCCTGGAGATAAATCCACCTCTTTTCAGCTTGCGCAGAATTTTCGACGAAAGGAGCGTTGTCCTGGAAATGAGCGTCTTTCGCTAAGCTCATAAAACTGCTATTGAATACGGATTTTCATCATTAGAAAGGGGATAAAGCCTTCTTAAATGAGACTAAAGACCCTAAAATAACTTGAGGTCCACATAGTTATTTCCCATAGTAAACTTATAACTTGCTTCCAGAAAAGAGACAAAAAATCATGAGCCTAAATAAATTAGGGGGATTGGCCATTTAGCTTATCTCAAAAAAATATCTATCGGAAACAGTATTGCCTGTAGTGGGTATTTGAAATAGCTTGAAAAGTGTAGTTGTCAAGTTAGAGGGACCACCATCGTTCAGGGGTAGCAATGAATGTATGGAAAGTTCCAAGAAAAATACGCGATTTCCGTCTTCTGCTAGGATCTTCCTGAATAATCTACATCCTGGTACAGAGCGGAAGTAGCATCAAAACATGCATCACTGCATCGGTTATAAGCGAACACGAAGGTGAACACCCGTAAAGAATGGGTTACTTACAATCGACAGGAATAAACAAAATTACAGCTAAACTTAAAAGTTATGCTTCCGTATATTTCCAAGCACTAATTTACTATGTTTTACCCAGTCTGTATGGGTATTAACGGCTGAATCGTACGGAACTTAAAACAGTTTCTGTGCCACAAACAAAGTTATCGAAGCAAAAAATTATCGGCAACTAAGGTGAAGGGTCATTGCAACCGCTTGAAAGCTGAATGCGAGTTGGCGGTATATCTGACTTGCTTGAGCAGGTGTAAGCAGTCGTCCGATCGTGCTACACGACTGGTTGAACTGGCTTTTTGGACATTGGATTAAAAATTTGGGTTGATCATGATAACGGGTGTGAAGGTGTTTGGATATATTTACATTAACTTAATGCATGCTTTTAATATGTGATAAATAGAGTGCTGTAATTGGATGTCTTTGAATTCAGTTCTCGTAAATGCTGTTCTACTGGTCCATTTAGACTATGTGAGTTGGAATCGCTAATGTGCCCACCCCCACACGCAATAAACCCCGACAAGAGTAAATATTTCCATGCCCTAACCTCCACAATAAACCTAACTCAAACCCTAATCATGATCCTTCTCTCAATCCAAACCATACACCTAAACCTAACTCTAATTTTCCTGAAATTTAGCGCAATGCCACCGGCATCTCGGATTGTTCCTGTGCCCATATCCAGCCGGGGGCAGAAGCAAATAAGCACCCCCTGCCGCGAAGATAATGGCAGCTGGGAGCGGCGTTCGCTTGACAAAGGTTTCTCAGTTGCTACACTGAAGGATCCATTGACCGGGACGCCAGACAGTAGAGAAATAGGGGAGCAGCATAATGCACTTGCCACTCTGAGCCATTTTGTGATGTGTAGGGCACAGTTCGAGTATTGATGCCGTTAGAGTAGCCCTTATTGCCAATAACAAATCAGGAGTGGCGGTCACAGGGAAATGGTTCGACATTTTCTGCGCGAGTCCTACTTTTGCCCTAGTACTGCTATAGCTTTCTCCTCGCTCAGTCGCTGTCGAGACTACGATGAGTGCTGACTGTGTATTGTCATGCCTGAGAGAGATCGAGATAAGTGGTGACAACTACTT